ACCCCATGTAGTAGTTGCCCTCCGCCCTCAGGACATATAACGCAATGGGGGATGAGGCAAGCACTGCGTACCAGCGGTTTCAAACGAACTGTAATTGGGATCAGTCGGAGGTTCTCGACAACCCGTACCACATATTGCACCTTTACCCAGCCGCCTGCATGGCGCTCATAGCGTTGCGTTGTTTTGTAGGTGGTCCGGGAAGGGATAGTTACAGAGAGGGTCCGTCGACTTGCGATCTCTTGCAGCTCAAGGATTTCTCCCTGTCTCACCAAACAAGGGAGTTGCGTCCTAATACATTGCTTGTGATAAACCGCTTTGTTATGAGAGGATGGCTTTCACCTGAACTGGATCAGGTTGCTCTTATCACTATGTATTCGTGACCTCCAGGTCTGGTAGAACCCTTTCTCAAGCGAGGCTTGTTCACTGGGAAACGACAGCCAATCTTCTTTAGGCATCTCACGTGTTCTCTGCTTGTCTATTGGGCAGGTCATAGCACGTGTCCGTTCTTTTTCCCTTGAAGAAGCAGAGTCTTCTATAGCAGTACCCAAGTGTCCGGCGACTCAGTAACGGCTTTGCCAAATTGGAAACGACCAGCACTGCCTCAGGCTAGTCTCAGCAATAAATGTAAAAGTGGTTCAAAAATTACGTGCCACCCTGAAATGTCGATCGAAATCAATGCCTCAGGGGATTTCTCCACAATGGAAATTCACGTAACTTCATTTAACTCAGTCACTCAGGTGGCGTTGCTGCTGTCTGTGCCAAAGCAGTGCCAGAGAGGTAGCTGAGCTGTAATACTGGAAAGAAGCAGAATATGAATCATTTTGTTCCTGCCTTAGAAAAAAGTCTGCATGCATGATCAGAAGAGAACGGATCTTCTCGTGGACGATCATATAGAACAAAAGAGCGAACTCTCTCAATAGAACAGGTAAAGTGCAGCTTGCAAACAGTGAACAGTATGAGGTGCGGAAACTTTCTTGAACCTAAATCATGCCAACGATTAACCCATACAACAATTATCAGGACATGAATTTTCAGTGCGTTACAAGTACTTCGAAATTTCCGAGTACCAGGAGGACGACGTCTGGCAGAAAAGTAAGAAAACTCTCCGACCCGCCGTTCCCGGATTTTATTCCAAGCCCACTCCTTTTTGTGGGGCACATAAATACAGCCATTGCAATAAGCTAGTCTTCTTCTTCTTATTTTCTTCTTCTTCTTCTTCTCCCTAGCGTTAGTCCCGCGCAGTCGCAGGGTCCGCTGTCTTTATCAGTCGTCGCCACTTCGCTCTGTCTAGGGCATCTTCTGCTGTGGCCGTGATTTCTAGGTCCTTCTTGATTACGTCCTTTCCACCTCTTCTTTGGGGCTCCTCGCGGTCGCTTGCCTTGCACTTCGAAGTCCATTGCTTTCCTTATTGGGTGGTCCTGTGGCCTCCTTAGCACGTGCCCATACCATCGCAGTCGCTGTTCCCTCACCTTCAGCTGGACAGGGGCAGTCTGCATGACCGCTCTGACATCCTCGTTTCTGACCCTGTCCAGCCGCGTCCAGCCGCAGGCCCATCCTCATCTCAGCGGAGTGAAGCTGCCTTTCGTGATTCTTGTTCAGGGGCCAGCACTCGCTGCCGTATAGCATCGCAGGCCTTACCACTGTCCGGTACACCTTCCCTTTGAGCGTTCTGGAGCACCTTCGATTGCAGAGGATTATTTATGCCGCGCTGATCCGTGCCTTTACTGCCTGATCCACACTGCCGTCGGCGGCTAGGTCGCGAAGTCCTCCACTCTTTCGATGATTTCTCCATGGCGTCCACGATCGGCTCTGCACCCTCTTCAGAGCTCAGGAACTTGGTCTTCTTGACATTCAGCCGGAGCCCACCTTCTGCCAGGACTTCTGCCATTTCTGCACCTTGGCCTGTAGTTCTTCTCTGCTATCCGCTATCAGGGCGATGTCGTCAGCGTAGAGGATGGTCTTCATGGTCCTTCCATGAGCCCCTTCACCATGACATCTAGTGTTAGGAGGAAGAGGAACGGGCTCAGAGCTGACCCTTGGTGCACCCCAACCGTGATGTTACCTCCTTTGTTAGGCCGTGTGGGGTGCGTATGGCTGCCTTAGCCCCATCGTACATGTCCTTCACCAGCGAGATCAGGTGTTCTGGCACGTTCCGTTCCCTGAGCGCTCTCCATAGTACTGCTCGCGGTAGCCGGTCGAACGCCTTCTCCAGGTCGAGGAAGGCTAGGCGGCGCTTTTCTCGATACTTCTCCATCACTTGCCTGCGATGAAGATGGCATCCGTTGTAGACCTTTCGGGCATGAACCCGAACTGTTCCTGGGAGATCGGGACCAGCTCCCGCAGTTTCGAGTCGACCAGTCGCTCGTACAACTTCATGGTATGCGCAGTCAACTTGATCCCGCGGTAGTTGGAGCAGTCCATCGCGTCACCCTTCTGCTTGAAGATGGGGACGATAGTACTTGTTCTCCAGGCATGGCATCCTTCCTTCCGCAGTTACGTTGTTGAGGAAGCTGGTGAGCCATAATATCCCATTCTCCCCAAGCGCTTCCCAACCTTCATCTTCTCCTACTTCTCGACGAACCTCATCCTCTGTCCATAGTGAGATGGGGCCAGCCGTCGCCTCTGCTTGCGAGCTGTCTTTGTGGGGGAACTCCTCGTTCAGGAGCGCTTTGTAGTACTCCTCCCACCTCCTCCTGACTTCAGTTGGCTTCCTCAGGATGGCACCGTTACTGCTCTTCACGCTCTTCACCACCCTAATGTCTTGGGTAGCCCGATGCCGGGCTTTGGCCAGTCTGAAGACGAACTTTTCTGCGTTTCTGCTTTCTAACTTCTCGTACAAGGCGTCCATCTCCGTGTTCTTCACCTTGGCGACGGCTGCCTTAGCAAGCATCCTGCAACCCTTGCTGGACTTCCTCATTCCAGAACCACGCTGCCTTGTCTCCTCTGATTCCACCTCGCGTCTCGCCCAGTACCTCCTTGGCACATCGCAGGATGGTCTCAGCCGCGTTGCCCCAAGTCCGCTGTATTGGCCCGTTAGGATCTGGGAGACCAACTTCCATTATCCTTCGTTTGAGGTCATCCTTCTCCGCTTGGTGCAACTTCCACCACCGGATTCTCCTCTCGGTTCTAACCTTGTCTTCTTGGGGAGGTCTATGGCAATGTCTGCCAGGAGGGGCCTGTGCTGGGAGCCAGTTCTTCGCCAGGAAGTACCTTGATCCTTCACAGTTTTGAGGGATGATCTTCTTACCAGCACATGGTCGATTTCCGTCTGTCTCCCTCCACTGCTGTAGGTTGACCTTCTGAGTCTCCCTTTTCGCGAAGAACGTGCTGCAGATTGCCAGATCGTGGGCTGTAGCCAGGTCCAGGACCCTCTCTCCCTCAGCGTTCCTCACTCCTATCCCTCTACCTCCGTGCACCCTTTCCAGGCCTCTTCTGTCACTGCCGACGTGACCATTCAGATCACCTGCTATGGTCAGGTAATCGCCTTCCGGAATCGATCTGATGGCATCGTCAAGGCTTAGAGTAGAACTCCTCCTATTTACGATTCTGGTACCGCTATCGCCGTTACGTTACCGTTATATCCTCCTCCATCTTCTTCGTCTACATTTTACTATCACAATAATTGTACCTGTTATTGCTGCTATCAGTTTTTTTTTGGTCTGAGGGGGGTCATATCAAATCGCCCATGAAGGGGGGTAGTAAAAAATTTCAAAAAGCACCAACGATAGGGTTATCCTGCTTGAGCTATGGTTTCAGCTCTTCCAAGACTGAGGTAAAGGACCTGAGGACGAAGATCGTGGATTTTGACCTCTAGCTCTAGATGACGGAGAAATAAAGAAAGCCAACGAATTGAGTCCTCGACAAACCGCACAAAACTTGCATGGAGATTCAGTTGTGTCAACAGAAAAATTTAAAAGTTCCTACGTGCGACTGTTAAGGCCTTTCAGGATAGAAAATGGGTTCGGCCTATTCTGAGCGACGCGAGCAAGCAGTACTGGTTGCCAATACTGGAACTTCGCTCCATAACTTCAAGAGGAAAAAGGTTCTTGACTTCGTGTTGACCGCATTTTACAAAGAGATGTTTCCCAATAACAACGCGAGAAGATGACGCTGATGGCAGCTGAGGGCCTCTCTGAAACCGGACATCCACTGAGAAAAAGTCGTGCTACGGTGTGGTGGAACAGTATAAGACTGGCCTACTATGGAGAGCTGATTGTGGGTCAGACAGTTACAGCTGAAGCCTGCGCACAACAGCCCGCCCGCGTGGACCGAGCTCTGCGTCGTCAAGGGTGAATTCGGCCAATGTAAAACTATTGCACCATAACGGAAGACCACATGTCGTGAAAATCACGCAACAAGAAATCGAGGAGTTGGGCTGGGACGTTCTACCTCCAGCGCCATATAGCCCAGGTCTGGCGCCGTCCGACTATCACTGACCCAGGTCAGCGCAAACACTCCTTAGCAGCAAACCAATTCGATAACCGCGACGACGTCAAAATTTGAGTGCCCAACTTCTTCGAGTCGAACCAGAAAGAGTTCTCTACGCGGTAGGCATCCATGCTTTGCGTAACGAAAGGTGATGAGCCTGTGACACAGGTGAAGGAGATGGTTCAGGTTGATGTGCTTCATTATTGTTTTTATAATGAAAATAATTGATGATCGAAAACGACATTTCAATCTGGCCAACCTAATAGAACCATTTCTGTAAACTCTGCAGGGCATGGCTTTAAGCCTCGGCAGGGATCGAACTCGCGGTTTTCAGAGGTGCAGACATGAGTCTAACCTCTTAACCACTCGGCTATCCCTGCCTATTGCAATAAGCTAATGTCTGAAGTAAAAGGAAGGTAGCCGGTTGTTGTGATTTTTTGCTCTGACAAACACTGATACAAACTTGTTCATTCACAAATCATCAACAAATTACAATACTGTTCTTCTGGAAATAACTTAAACGGAACTATTTCGGCTTCTTTGTACAGATACCAACATCCTGACGTCGCCATTTACTGAAAGCAACCGCATTTTGAACTCACTCCTACAACTACAAATCACCCATGCAAGCTGAATGCCTCTCAGTACTTACCAGCTTGGCTTGCCTCTCCATCCATTCATTGATGGACGATCCAATTTTGCTCTCCTCCTCTTCTTCGCCTTGAGTTGACACCGGCTGAAAGTGAAAATTAAATGAAAGGAAACAGATTTCTTTAGAAAGTGTGGTGCGGTAATAATGAACCCTTCCGTACCTTTCTAGCCTTGACCGGGAATGCAACAGCCGCTGCTGGCCAATTGGCAGTCATCTTCATCACATCAGGCCAGTTTGCTGGCATTGGTGGGACATAGTTGTAGAATGGGGTAGCTGGTCTCCAGGCCGCGCCATAAGTTGACCCTAAACAGTCAGCTATGAGAAACAGACACATTGACAAGCATAACATCACCAAATTAGAACCAAATTATTACAACGAATTAAAATGAATTTGAAAGGCTTAATCATTCCAAGAACTCACAAACGGGGCAGCAGAAATATGGTCCGATGTCGACGGAGTTGGTAGCGTAGCAATAGGACTGAGGAGGGCACTGTGGCCATGGTCGCTTCGGGTCGCATTCAATAGGAAGCGATGGTCCGCCAGGGCATTGCCCAGTGGGAGCAACGACGGCTGGTTGAAGTGCGATCGCTGGAGCTGCTGCCATCATTGGAGGAGGTGCAGCGGGCATTGCTGAATATGGCGAGTGTAAATATATGTAATTGTAAGAAAATATAACATATAGTATCAGTCTAGTATTCGCTAGAGGACGAACCTGGGACAGCGAATTGCACGTTTCGGGGGACTTGAGCTGCTCCCGCTAGCGGTTGAACATACTGCCGACGTTTGGTATTGCTGGGCTCTTCTATAAGTTAATTGTGGATTTAAAAATCACATGGAAAGCGTCAAATGTAAATACATTTGGAGAAAAACGAGACAAAAAACTGTTTAAAATATCAGTAAACAAGTACCTGGGTTCGGAAGAGCGAGGGTAACACTAAGCAGGCAAAAACCAGCAATAAGAAATTTGGAGACCATGGCTGATTTGCTGCTCCTTGCGGCATCTGTTGGTTTTATACGTGAGAAACGAAATGGGGCGGAGCGTACCGGTCGGTCAGTGCTGCTGGACCCGATGGAACTCTCGGCGAAACAACGGGATAGGGCAACGCCAAAACACGTTCGGGATGGGAGGAGCAGCTCGGCTGGTTGCGGAAGGCACCGAATTTCGTCCGACACGGTAATGTTGAACCCCAACAGAATTAAAGCTGGTTACTTGCAGTTCAAGTGGCCTTGAATTTTTTGAATGAACAATCCGGGAAAGAAAGGGAATCGGATCAGCTGTGTCTTGAGCAGCAAAGGGTTGGGCAAAACAAGTTGAATAGCTTTAGAAAGCTGCATGGCCAGGAGATCAGTATTCTTTATTCCACCACGTGTGAAACAAGAGAGTGCTGATCTCTCGACCCACGCCAGGCTTGAACATCGCGCAGGTTCGCGACTAGGGCAAGCCAAAATTTCTTTTGTCTCTCCTAGTAATTTGAGCATACTTGACGTTCAGTAGCTAAACAACTCTTGAAAATCCGAGGTTTCGGTGGTCAGCGTCGAATACACCCGCTGTGAGATACGCTACGCATTCGACATAGCACTCGGTTCAACCGGATGATGTCACGTCGTTTTTTAATATTTCCCAAGGATCAAGAAAACAGGCTTTCCATTGCCTTTGTAGGAAGCAGAATGACATGCGCGCACCAAGCAAAGGTTAACAATAATAACAAGGTTCGAAGGTTTTCAAACAGATACAGCCTAACGTCAAGGACCGAGGATTTGAGGCCCGCGACATGAGCGAAAAATTTCGGGGATACAGATACTAACCCATGTGCGTCAAAAACGGCGCCATTAATAACTACATATACCACGTCCGCGTAATTTTGAAGATTGAAATGTATGCAGAGTGAAGATCAACCCTCCGACGAGAATACTGTTGGTTCACATCTATATCCCTTCCGTAGTTAAAGATACCGCAACAATTTGGACAAGCTTTTATGAGAGTAGCGCCTCAATGAAGACATTTGTGCATGGTGGGAAGCTCTACGCATCTGATTTAACGGCAATCCTTCACACGGAAATGTGAGTTTTCTTGGGTGTGTATACAGCAGTTCCTAGTGCCTTTCCCTGGCCAGTGTTTGTGGCGTCAAAGAAATGCTTCCAGGAGCTTAGCGCAAAGTCTTGTTGATATATTCGTATCAGTTTAGTGTCCTGCTTAACTCCTATATCAGCATTCAATAAGCAATAAAAGATAATGATAAAAGGGGTTTGTTCGCGGATGATAGCTCTTGATGAATCAGTTGCTGAGCTCTAATCTGAGGGTCAGTCACAACATTACCGATCCCATCTCCTATATTCCATTGGTATCGACCAACCAAGAGAAAGCGAAAATGGAAGGCTCGAGGACGATAGAGTTTTTGATGGAGACGAGGCCCATGGTAACATTTCAAAGCAAGGGACGGCGGTGTTTGTGCAGAGGGCTTCATCGTGTAGTTCTCGAGCTCTGATTCGGTCCAAACCGATTGCTGCGATTCTCGCAATGTAACACTGGAGGTGGAATCGACACTCAGCGTGTAGTCTGGGTATTAAAACCCGTGCATTCTACGACTATAATCGAATCTCCATAGTTGACTGGTAGCCCCTATTAGAGGCTGAGGTTAATGCAAAAAACATCCTAGTCGATTTATTTTTGTAACAGGAGTGCGAGGATTAAAGGATGAAGTTTGTCCGCCTGTCGATGCTACCACGCAAGCGGGAGCGCCTCCTTCAAGCTTCTTTTGGCTCACAGGCTCACGTTTCCTCACAGCCACGATTTCGTCGTTCTTCTATTTTATTCCTTTGTTCTTTTGTGTTGCTGAGGAAATCGAATAACCAGCCATCGCATCATTACAATAGACATGCAAGGAGACCGGCTACTTCCGCTAGTGTAGCTTCTCAACCTTATTACTCCCAAGTATTTCGAGTTTGCGATGAATTCGGAAGTGATGTAGTGGTAAGAGGCACGCTTACCATGCGAGCGGTCCGATTATCTAATCCTGGATCCTGAGGTCAATCAAGCCTTCCATCCCTCCGGGGTCGGTTAATTGGTACCAGACTTGTCTGGGAGGATAAAAACACTGACTTGTACATCGGCTGGCCCCCGCAAGTCATTGTATAGGCCACATCGCATTCAAACGCCACTACGAATGTACAAATGGAAGTAGAATGCGTGCCGCATCCCAAAAAGGGATTGATCAACGGCAAATGCTTTATCCTTATCCTTTACAATTTCCCTGCATTTACTGGTTCTTTCACTTTCACACTCATTGTGGACTGAATGAATTACAGGCAAGCAATCCGTGAGGTTCAGTATGTAGACGAGATGTACATAGTCATGGCAAAAAGGTAACTCACACTCTGTGTTTCATAGTGAATAATGTACATTTCACCTAGCCCCAAGCGCTGTTTACATCCCATTGATTCACCCTTCGAAAAGTCGTATTGCTTTCAAATTCCGATTTTCTGACTGATCGCTACCCTGTTGTAGTTTGTGAAGCCAGATTTTGTTTCCAAAACCCATGTTCCACATTGTTTCATGTGTCATTCAAAAGCGCTTTTTCTGCTCATTCAGATTCAACACTCTCTTATCCTTTTGTTATGATTGTGATAGTATATGAGGCCTGCGTAATAAGGTAGGCAGTCAGTGAGAATAGCAACACCACTAGGAAAAATTCCTCTAAAAATGCCGTAAGGTCAATTAGTGATGGGTCCCCTTCTTAAGTATGTAGGTACGACTGATTCTAGAGGTTTCGTCTGTTTTTCAATGTCTCAGCCATGAAAGGATCGCGTCCAAATTAGACGATATAGCTGTCAACCATCGAGACCTTGGTGGATCACCGCATTTAAAAAAATAAGGACACTAATTGGTGGACCGCTCGGTAGTGGAATGTTATGTAAACGGAGGTTGCCGCTAAGTTCATGGTGCACCACTGACTGATTTTTTCCCCAAGGAACATAGAGTTTGAGCTAGTTGCCGGTTTGGCTAATTTTCGTCTCGATTCCTTTTCCTTTTCCCTTTTTACAATCCCGTAATTCATTCATTCTTTTGACTGGTTATAAGATGATGTAGAAATATGACATAACACAGAAAAACTTTATTCGGAAACAAAACGACACTAATTATAAGACAACCTATACATGAGGAACAAACACTGAGTTATTGAACATGAGTGGGATCTAATTCAAGCATTACATGAAGAAACAGTTTGTTGCTATCAAAGGAGGAATTGACGATATGAACGGAGGTCAAAGAAGGGAAAATTGCATAGTTGGGAGACAGGCGGACCTCCTGAGGGTGCTGACCACGCGCAATTGGCAGCGAAAGATTTGACCTCGGCGATCTAGCATGGCTCACTCTTGGCGCGGTTGGCGGGGTACGCCCACCGACTATCTAATCACTCGCCGCAGGTCTATACGTGGCGAGTGATTAGATAGCAGAGAGAGCGTAGTGTTGAAGAGGGCACAGCGATGAGAGTCGCATCAATGCGCAAATCAACGGGCAAGGAAGGGGTCCCATTTCTCGGGTTTCGGGCCGTTTTCATGGTTTCATCCCTGCTCCACTGACCACCTCTACCCTTATTTTCAATGAGCTAACTTTTCATCGTAAATTCTGCTTCTAAGTAATAGTAGTGAACAAAGCTTTGAGCGTGATTGATCTCTTTTTTGGATGCGCCATGCATTCATCTTACCTTAGAGTCCATCGGGGAAACTGAATATTATTTGCATATAAAAATGGACTTGTATAAAATGACTGGCGGAGGTTTGCATCCCAATAAGTCCAGCCATCCGAATTAACGAGACGAAGGTTTCGCTGGAAAGAGCCAGAAAAGATCAGCTACCTACCGGCACTTCATGCGCCTGGTATACAGCGCCTTTTACTATTATACACTTCTGAGACGGCTTATGATTAATTTTCTTAAAGGCAACAGTGTTTAGGGAAGTCTTCATTACATGTGTCAACATTAGCCGGACAGGGACGAGCACTAAATGGGCCCATTTTCTCACCTAGTCCTGAAGCGGCTGGACGACGGCCACACGAACGGGTTGGTCAGGAGCTTTCATGATCATCACTATGCATCATCATAGGTGCCGAAAGTTCGTACATCGGTGAATAATGAGAATTTGCTTCGTGCACAGTTACATTCTATAAAGGTTGAGGACCACAAAGGATAAATGAAATCCTTTAGAGAGGAATGAGAGTAAAAGAAGGAC